AACATCTGAAATGACATAGATAGAAGGGTGTTCCATGCCTAAATACACTGGTTAAGTTTTAATTTATGGCTGCCTGATTCATGTTTAGCCTGAGTTTAACAGACGCAGTTAAATCAGGTTTCTCCTGTGAGTAAGTAGAGAACACTGTTTGGATGTTTATATAGAGGAATCTCGAAGAATCTCAAGCAAACCTGTGATTGTTTTACCTTAAAAAAAATTGCAAAAAATCAGTAGAGTGAAAAAATCACATGCAAAACATATATAACAAAAACATGTATTACAGTAATGAGAATCTAATGAGAACATTCATAGAATAAAAAAAGAAATTCTCAAAAAAACTCAAAAGTAAAACTTACAAATGCATTATTTTCATAAGAATTTGTGAGGGGAAATGTGATGAAATTTCATGAAACTAGTTTACAATCAACCACACCTTGTGAAAAAAGGTACACTTTTATCGTACTTAAAAAAATAATAATATACTTTAAGAGAATATAAGTGTCAACTGAATCTAATGTTTTCAGACACTTAATTGCATGCATTTTAATGAAAATGTATTGCAATTTAAACTTATATTAATTGTAATTAGCTGAACTTTAAAGTGCTTTTTGACCCACTCATGTAGGACTTAAATACATCTTAATAATTAATTTCATGATTACTTCTATTGTCTGAAATATGGTTCATGTTTTACATACATTTTAGTGTGTTAGTCAACATATCAAAACATGTCATGCAAATGATGTCCCAATGCAAAAAGAAAAAAAAAATTATTAACACAATTTCATATTTCTTTTCTTCTTATTTTGGGGTGAAATGTGACCTGCACATGTTTTGATGAGATTAACAATGTCACATCCAATCATAGAAAGACAACAACCCCTCAAAAACGTCATCCTGTCGTCTCATTCTCTGTACCTGAGCACCCAAGTAAGAAGTGTTGGGTTTCAGAATACAAAACTCTCGGAGAAAAAAGCCCAAGAGAAGCTCAGAAACTAACTTCCCAATCCTTTATCCAGACAAACTTTCCTGAGTAAACTCGTCCGAGAAATATCTCCTCAATACTAAATGCTCTGTGAAAGTATTGTGAAGTCTCACGTTACCTTTGTGAATTGGGAAAGAGAAGCAGGTAGTTCAGAGTGAGAGCTGGAGATGATGTGATAGCGAGTTAAACACTTCTCCAGGCATCAGTTTTACAGCTCCGATCCGCTTTCCTACAAAGAACATGCCTTTTTTCATTGCAGGCAAAAGCTTCAGGCACACAGCTCCACACTGCAGGTAAAGGAAGTTGTCATTTGAAAGCTCTTTGTACACAGTGGGTGTTCCCTTATGGAGCAACAGTTTTCCCTGCGTCGAAATCGGACAAGTAAGAACAGAGGAGTCTTTGCACAGGTGGGCGGGATGTACGGCTAGAGCGTATGGGAAATGGCCCACATTGTCTGCAAGTATTAGGATTGTTAAAGGACGTTTAGTTATTTTGTTGTTTAAATCGAGTTTGAAAAAGACTTTATACTTTGAGTCATATTTCAGTCCTTTACGATTAGGTTTTTGAACTCTGTCTTTATACACAGTGGCATTAGCATAGAGCAGAACGGTGATGCAACTTGTAAAATCCCGTCATTTTGTGTGCAGAGACGTGTTTCAGATACATCAGGTAAATGGGTTAAAGGTAAATCAGTTACCTTCTGAACACATTAAATGCTGCTGTGCAACCATGGTAATATGAATTTAATGACTAGTCTTGCTCTTTGGGATTCTTTAATTCAATTGCTCTTCTATGTCTTGATATTTCACTCTAACACTTTCAGCAGGTGCTGTCTGCCGTGCATTCATAAATCAACACAAAAAGAGTTCAAAGTCCTTTGAAGTGACTTCCCATAACACCATTTGATATTTTATTGCCCCACCACATAATGAAAATGTTAGTAAATGAGCAAAGTGTGATATTTTACTAGAGTCTATATGCCTTGAAAGGTCTACTTCTTACTCCACCTATTATCATAGTACCTGAATCATGTTTGCCTTCTCTGGAAATTAATTTCAGCTTCAATACAGTGAATTTCAAAAGACATCCTATTCAAAGTTGGAAGTATTGAGTCATTTATCCATATATAAGTGTTTCTCTGTGTAATTGTATGGTATTTTCTGTCGACCTAGACCTTTGCCATGTCATGGATTTCTTGCATCACTGTATTATAAAAAGAATAATTATAATATACTTTAAAAGAATGTACTTCAGTATGAACGGAATGCAATGACACTTTGACATTCAATGAAAAACTATTATAGTTAAAATTTATATTGAATGCAATAAGCTGCAACTTTAGAATGCTTTTTGGCCCACTTAAGTAAGACTTAAAACTTCTATTGTCTTCGAAATATGGTTAAAGTGTATCGCCAAATGTACCGACAAGCACTAAAATACACTTCAATGTGATTTCTATTGAAACGTGTATGTGTATGTCATGTATTCAAACATATTTGTAATTACACATTTGTATCGATGAAGTTGCAATTTAGTACATTTAAAATATATTAACAATTCAATATCGAACAACACACCAAGTATGTGCGCTTAAGTATGTTAGTCAACATCAAAACAAGCGCGACGAAAGGTTATTAAAACATCATAATTTAAAATGTAATTTAAAGTACTGAAATATTTTGAATTATTACAAAGTGCACTTTTTAAAAGTATACTTTAAGATAAGAAACATAAAATATGAAAGTGTACTCTAAGTACACTTAAGTGGCCTTTTATTTCATTAATATTATATTATCTAGTTTTTTAAAGAGATGAAGTATACTACGAGTGCGCATTCAATACAATTAAGAACACTTGCTTTTTAGAAGGCATTATTATATAAAGTTATACAACTAATTAACCACGTTCAGAGATAAACTCTGAAAAATACAATAGTTTCATACTGTAGATCCAGTTGCAAATCCTGGCTGAAAACTAAAGTGAGCTCTCTGCTAACACAACATTACTAAAAACATAGCATTGTGCATTTGTATTTACCAAGCAGACTCTTAATTAAATAATTCATTTCATCCTACCTCAGACCGCTCTTTTGCTGCTTCATCCGCGCTCAGCTCTCCTCAGCTGCCCTCTGCACAACCTCGCCTCTGCCTGCAAGAAGTCACAAGTGAGTCTGAATGAGAAAGAAAGCCATCCCTATTCTCAAGTGTAAACATAGGGGTGCTTCCCTGACTGCCACTGTGAGTAAACAGCCTTCCACAGGCATTTACAAAAACTGCTGTCTGACCTTAATATGGCTTTCGTGATCAGCCTTAGGAAAGGGCTGAATAAAGATGTTCTGTGTGTGTGTGTGTGTGTGTGTGTGTGTGTGTGTGTGTTTTGAATTTTAATGGTTTGGATAGATCTCAGTGCATTAGAGTACAAAAAAACAGGTTTTACAACCTTGTAAAAGGAGGTGACTTGTGAACAGCTAAACAGAGAGAACAAATGAGAGGAAAGTGGATAAAGAAGAATGTTAATAATATAGAGATTCATAAATGGATTTCATTTTGTAATTGATCATTGACAATAGCCAGATTTATTGTTGACAATGGCTGTGCTAGGAATGTTGGAATAGCTTATACCACACATACAATTGTATTAAAGGCTTTAAGGGTACAACAGCTTGTCACTGGGGCAGTAGTACCCTCACAGGGACGCTTCTGTACCTTCTAAACCTAAAGGTACAATTTTTGCACTTGTTTTTCTGACAGTGCACTGTTTGAAGCTGCAATACAAAGTGATCAACTCAACTCATTATTTTATTGCAGTGGTGCGTGTTAAGAAAATTTGCTGAAAATTTCATTCAAGACGTAGATGAGTTTGTTTCCTCATCAGAACAGGTTTGTAGAAATGTAGCATTGCATCACTTGCTCACCAGTGGATGCTCTGCAGTGAATGGGTGCCGTCAGAATGTAGCATTGCATCACTTGCTCACCAGTGGATGCTCTACAGTGAATGGGTGCCGGCAGAATGAGAGTCCAAACAGCTGATAAAAACATCACAATAATCCACAAGTAATCCACACCACTCCAGTCCAGCAGTTAACATCTTGTGAAGCAAAAAGCGGCCTGTTTGTAAAAAAACAAATTAATCATTAAGTCATTTTTAACTTATGTTGCTTATCAGTGAAAAAGTCCATCCTCTGTTGTCCTTTCATATCAAAATGTTGTAAATGGTGTTTATATCACTTGTAAACGGTGCTCGATCGATGCATATTTCGCTCCTGATTCAGACAAACTTTTCACTGGAAAAATGGTTGTATGGATGTGTTTATTACAAACACACAGCGTAGGCCTTTAGTGTTTACTGCATACAGTATACATTATGTAGTATGCATTATTATAGTCCTATTCCTATTCGCTCGTGACAAATGTGTTGAAAGTATGGGTCAGATTTAAAAAGTTCAAAGCTTCAGACGGATTTAAACTAGTTTTTTAGTTCAGATTTTCTGGATTTTGAGAGAGTGATTTTTCTCATATTTATAGTAATCCATTTTTTTTTAAACAGGATGGTGAAATAAATAGGCTAATGTTACAATAATAACAGATTAGTAGGCCTACATAATAGTACCCAGTCACATAACATTTTATAGGCCTATACAGACTATATATTAAAATAAATGAATAAAAAATAAAATGAATTTAAAAATAGACTAAATGCAACTACTGAAGACTCACATATGTCTTCAACTTCGACAAAGTTGCAGAAATGTGTATTTTCATTTAGGATCATATTTACATTTCGTTTGTCTAGCAGATGTCCTCATTATTCGAACGTCATACTAAATCATTTTCCAAATGTATTAATTCGTTTGCGCCGTCAGTCATTATCTGGTGTGTAACCATCAGACTTGACACTGAACTCAGCTCAGTAAAGGCGATGTTGCTATTGTAGACTGCAACAGCAAAACTGATCTCAAATCAGCAAAGCGTCTGTTTCCAACCGGCCAATGGAGAGCTCGTGTGAGCGTCACGTGACTAAACACGGACGTGTTTGAAGCATGCGAAGTTAGGAGACTGACCTAGACCAGAAAATAGATTCATAGACTTAATAGATCCCCGTTTTTGTAAATTGAGATAGATGAATTGCACGTCCTAAAGGTGTCTGAACCGAGCAATGCCTGTAGTTCCTGCGAACCAGCCGCAGCTGATCCGCTCGAGTCAGAAGGATGAGTACTACCAGAACAACCTGACAAACAACGCCAATGAGCTCTTCCACACATTCGCTGGTAAATCACTCACACACACATTACATGCAGGAGGTCGAGTAATTTAAAGCACATTCTACACATTTATATGTTGCTTAAATTTTTTCCTATTTATTCTCACCTGAAACTAAATACCAATCAACATGTCTTGCACCAGAACAGTCGTAATTTAGTATTTAGTACTTTTAGAATGTAGTATTTAATTTTTAAATGACGCTTTCCCATCATTTTCAACTAAACAAGGTGTTTTGCTGCCGTACATGTAAATTATATTTGTTTTGAGTGGCTGAACAATTTGCACATAGAAAGAGTAAGATATACCTTTGGGAGATTATATTAATATGATATAGGTTTGACAAAGAATTCAACATCAACTGACAGTATGGTTTCGATAAATAGGCTCAGAATTGACTAGTAGCTTACTGTGCAGCATACATGCTATACTTTACTTTCTGAAACTAAACAATAATAATATGTAAATTAAAACACTTTCCCCCAGTTTCACAGACAAGGCTTAAGCCTAGTCCCAGACTAAAATGTAAGTCTGAGCTGTTTCAACTGAAAGAAACTTACACTGATTGATAGGGATGTAACGATTCACTCAACTCACGATTCGATTC